CCTCCACCACACTTTCCACCCCAACATTCTGCCCTATGGAGCTAGTCAGTGCAGCACATACCCTGCATGGCCAGACTATGGAAGTAGACACAACTACTCTGCTTGGTAAGGGTGCTCCGGGCAAAACTCAAGTAAATATTTAAAGCTGAATATCGGCTTTACAATCCCGCCATCGTGATCTAATACTCATTTAGTCTAGACTCGCCATTCTCATCCAGAGTTCCGTTGAACCCTAGGGGTCCTCAAGAGGTCACTAGGGGTTCCTTGAGCTGTGGCTGATTGGCCACCCATCTGATGGTCTGCATAGTTCTATCCCACCTCAACCTGACCACTGAACCATCACGTTCTCAGACAATTCATCCCCACACAGCTCCCTACTCATGTATCACTGGCCCCTCCCCTTTTAGATTGTAAGCCCTCAGGGGCAGGGCCCTCCTTACCATCTTGTCTTGATTTGTATTGTGATTGTAATGTCTTCCCTATATTGTAAAGCGCTGCGCACACTGTTGGTGCTATATAAATCCTGTGCCAAGAATGTGGACCTGTGAGGTCACATGACTGTCATGGCGCCCAGTGCAGTCTTCGTGTGGGGTGAGGGGGGGCACCTCTATCTCTATTGTATTACAGGAAGTGACCATCAGAATGTAACAATGTTTCCTCTTCTAGGCCAAAGATAAGAGCGCGGTCCTCCCCGATCATCATCCCGTGTGACGTCCTTACCAACAAACATGATCCGGGGGACGTACTGCCCGTCCGGGGCCAGGTTCTTGTCTGTAGTCTCATGCTGGAAGACGAGGCAGAGAAGGAAAAACATTTGTCATGTTCATAATCATATGATCATCAAACAGCCGGCACATGTTCCTGCAAACATATCAGTGGCATAACAATCAACCAGGTGGCCGCTATGGGGCCTGGGGACAGGGGGGGCCCGGCCAGGACATCCCCCTGATGCCGTGCAGGTCATCTGGGTTGCTATGGCATCTCATGCTGCTGGCTGTCACTGGCGGCTGTGCAGAGGAACGCTCCGCTGTTCAGATCTGTGCAATGGCGCGTTCCTCTCCACAGCCGCTGCTGAGTCAGTGACAGCCAGCAGCAGCGGAGGAGGAGGCCGGACCCGGCAGTGGAGGAGGAGGCGGGGCCCACCAGCAACCGTGAAGGCGGCGGGCAGCGGATCGGGGCTGACAGGTAAGTGGTGTGCAGTGGTGTGCAGGGGTGTGACCAGCCCCTAAATGCTCATTAACCACGAGGGTGAATCATAGTAAATTCACATACCAGGAGGGTGAATCATAGTAAATTCACATACCAGGAGGATGAATCATAGTAAATTCACATACAAGGAGGGTGAATCATAGTAAATATACATATCAGGAGGGTGAATCATAGTAAATTCACATACCAGGAGGGTGAATCATAGTAAATATACATATCAGGAGGGTGAATCATAGTAAATATACATACCATGAGGGTAAATCATAGTAAATTCACATATCAGGAGGGTGAATCATAGTAAATATACATACCATAAGGGTAAATCATAGTAAATTCACATACCAGGAGGGTGAATCATAGTAAATACATACCACAAGGGTGCGAGGGTGAATCACAGTAAATGAGGGTGAATCATAGTAAATATATATACAACCAGGGTGAATCTAGTAAATTCACATACCACGAGGTTGAGCATGATGAAATTCTCTTTGGCCAACGATGAGAATGCCGGGCCCTCGGTTTGCACCCCTGGAGCTTACAGTCTAATATTCCCCCCACAGTCAGTCTTTGAAACAAGTGCACGAAACGCGTCAGGATGACCCCGCCTACTGATTACATAATGAAGAAACGTTGCCGCTGCTCAGAGCGCAGCGACTCATTTCTGACTGATTCACCGGAGTGCCATGAGCCCGGCGGTCACTCTGGGATTGTACGGTGAGGCCAGTGCTGAGCCGCTCACATTGAACAGTATATAGATCTTCTGCATGTTTTTGGGTGTGTGGGAGGAAACTGAAGCAAGCAGAGGAAATACACATAAA